AATCTATTCTTATTAAGTACATTTGGAGAACAACCTTGAGCCTGCTCAAAAGAGAGTGACAAGATGGTATCTCTCTTGGGGAATTGTTGAAAGAACAGTTGAAAGAACAAGCTACATTTTACCCCTAAAAGGGACAGACAGATCCACTATTAAGGGTGTTGTAGTTTTGAAGTCCCAAGAAGTGTTTTCAGAAAGTAATAGATTGCTGCATAACTTAAAGGAGGAAGTGAGTGAGTTCTCTGACATGGGTGTTATTCAAGCATGCTTGTTAACAGATTAATAAAAGAAATGCAGACCACAAGGGGAAGGCCCATTAAATACTGGCTTCAACACTTACCCTCCACTCAACCCTAAGATTCTACACATATATTCCAAAAAGATTGTTGACCCCACCAACCCTTTATCTTCTATTTTCAGATGCCACTGTCAACTTTTGGGGCTGACCTACCATCCAAAAATACATGCATCTTAAAAACATATGTAACAAGGAATTTTGATTTCTTGGTTTTTCTGACTTTATTTTAGGCAACTTTCTTTCTCTGAGACATGTTCATTCAACAAATAATAATAGAGCAGTTCTATGCTTCTAGGCCCGGGTGTCTGGGTATAAAGATGAACAAGACAGTCTCTACTTGGAAGGGCTCCCAGCCTAATGGGAGAGAGAACAGCTCCAGTTCAGTTTGTGCATGAACGGGGGCATGAGCCATGCCTTCCTGTGTAAATGCCACTTCACAGAAACATGACACAACCCATTGCTGAGGGTTGGGGCAACTTTGGTGTTTAGAGCTCCTCCCAGACACCTCCCCTAGCGTGAAGACACCTCCTTTAACTTCTCCTTAACCTCAAACTTCTCTTTTCATTGCTGACCTATAGCTGGAATTCAAAGTAAAATCACATTATGACCAAACCTATGTAGCTAACTAAAGCAGAACTGTGGGTTAGTACTGTCTCTTCTCCCACACTCATGGGACATGATATTTTAAGTCATTGTGGGGTGTTAATTTAAGTGCTTATTTCCGCTTCACCATAAATCATATCATCTAGATTTCCAGCCTCATCTCTAAAATCACTTGAATAATATCCTAAATAAATGGTAATCGTGTATCTATTTCAATTCTTTAACGGTAAAGAAGATAATCTTTTATATTTTTTTACATAAATAAAGTCTTTTAGATTGGACAATTTCTCAATAAAACCATATTAAGTAAGAGAGCAATGGCACAGAGTGCTTAACAGCATGGTCACTAGCTTCTGAAGGATGTGGGTTCAAATCTCCATTTTGCCTCTGCCAGGCTGTGTGGACTTAACCCAGTTGCTTAATTTTTGCAAATTTCAGTTACTTAATTTTTGCAAACATCAGTCTCCTCATCTATACAATGAAGATAATGAAGTATCACGTCCCTTGAAAAGATTAAATCAGATAATAAGCTTACAGTGCTAGATAGTGGCTAGCTTATTGTAAGTATTAAAAAAAAAGTGGTAATCATATAGGTAGATCGACAAGATTACACAGATTTATGGGTAATGCGATGACATCATTCTGGCAGAATGTTCTGCTAAGCACCACCCATGAGAGCAACAGTGCTTTGGAAAAGAAAATTGCAGCAATGTGAACCTGTGAGGACCACACGTAACATGGCTCAGCACAGCTCTGTGAGACATGGGGGTCACACTGGGCCTTCCAGTCCATCTCTGCCACTTATTAGCTATGTGAGCTTGGGCAAGTCTCTTTGCCTATATCCCTCGGTTTCCTCATCTGTAAAATAACTTGTACCCACTTGGAAGGGTCATTGTAAGTATTAAATGCATTAAATGCTTACAATTGTGCCTGCTGCTGGGTAAGCACCACATGTGTTAGCTATTATGATGATGGTAAATCAAAGAGTGCAAGATTCTGTTGACTGTTTTAAGTAGCTGCACAAAAGAATTCCTGGGCAAGATACCTGAGTACTGCCCTCTCTTTCCCTCAAACTTTCCTCCTTTACCACTATTCAGTGTCACTCTTTTCTTGCCTGCTCAAGCCCCTTGTCCTTCTCTTTCCTTTCCTATCCCCAATTACTGGGTTTCTCCCAGCCTCCTAGGACACCCAAATCCCTAACCCACTCTTTGGGTCAGGCCTGGTGTGAGAAGTGCTTACTGACTTGGTCACAAAAGTTTGCTCCAAAAACCTCTAGAAATGAAGCTGGTTTGTGACACAATGGTGGAGGAGTTAAGGTTACGTAATCTGCTCCTCTCTCTTTTAAGCTATGATTATAAATATATCCATGTCAATAGTGTGTTTCCAAGGACCTCCAAAATATGTTTATTTTTTATCACCCCTGCTCAGATAGGAAGTTTGAGTTTACTAAACCCAATCTTGCCACAATATAATTTATCAAGCCTCACTCTGGTTCAGGTAAATTTCTCTGACGTTTGCTTTTGCTTGTCTTGGTCAGCCCCCCTTTTTGAATGCTGTATGGGACCAATGAGACAGTGGGCTGAGCTGTAAGGTGACCTGGGTTTGAATCCCAGGGTGTCCTCCTATCAGCTGTTGGACTGTGGTCAAGTCATTTCTGTCTGAGCCCCAGATTTCTCTGGAAGATGGAAATAAGGATACTATCACATGGGGGTGGTTAGGATTGAATGCTCATAGAATGGCTAGTGGTGATGTGGTAAGTTCTAAATTCTCTTTTTTTCGCCACATCAAAAGTGACAAGACTTGAGACCAGGAAATCTGGCTCTTATTTAAATTGAAAAAGATGCAAAATGACAGAACCATATATTTTTCCTCCTCTTACTATCATCTCTATTTAAAGATCTTGGGTAGAAAGCAAAGAACCCTGAATTGTGAATGTCAGCAGTTATCTCGTACAGAAAAAAAGCAGAAATGTTTTATAATCAGTGCCATTGATTTTACACTAAGGCTTATCTGACATGATAAAATCCTTGTACCAGAATTTTCTGTTATATTTTTCCAACCCAAAATCTCTTATCTTCAATAAAATAATTTCCTAAAATAACACCCAGATATCTTCAACTATACAGGAGAAAAAACTGAATGGAGGTAGATTCTTATATTATTATCTGTCATACTTTAAGGTCCATAACCATAGTCAAGACAACTAACAGGATGACAAATAAAGATCTTCATGGTCCTTTCTTCACTATTAACTTGGCAACCAGCTCAGGTATATATACCAATATATACAATATATACATACCCCAGCAGTATCGAAGGAGGGCCCCTGATCTGTTGAACCACATATCGACACTAATGCTAACAGTCATTACCATTTACGCAGCATCTACTATGTGACAGGTTCCCGACATGCAGTTTTAATTTAACAGACATAAGGTAACTGAATGGAACTTAACCTCTAAAGAAGTTAAGAACTTTAACACCTCACTGGGAAATTTTAAGTTTAGATATAGTTCTTCAGCCCACAAGGAGAGTGTTTCCGAACCAAATATTACTTTAAAATGAAAAATTAGAGAATTTTAATATACTACAACTAGATGTTCAAAAGATCCCTGAAAAATATGAAAAAATGTGGAAATATCAATTGAAATATCACTACATGTTTTAGGTACATTTTTTAGATTTTTTTTTCAGGAAATAATCTCAGAGAATTACTTTCATTGATTAAAAATATTTATTGACTTAAATCCATATGCTTCATCCTCATTTTCTGGTGGGGCAGACTCATTAAAGATTTAGCTTTCTATATTTTTTGTAATTTGGGGTTTTCAAGTATGGGTACACAATAAACATAACTCTCACTACCACATATATACAACAAGCCAAACTTATATTAGATACACTCTAAGAAAATCCTGGTGTATAGGGTAGAACTCCATGCTACCAGCCAGAAACACAACAGTCAGGTTGTGTTTCCCCTGTGGCCGTGGGTGGTCACCGAGCTTCAAGGCCTGTTTTGTTTTTCTTTTTTTTTCCTCTGGACATGAGGGAAAGAGGCCATATGATCTCAGGCCCCTTCCAACTTTAATCAAAACACAATCAAGTGGCAATGTATGCTGTTTAGCTTCGACACTTGTAGAACATTTTGGGCTAAAATGCTCAACAATGAATGGGTTTTAAAATAGTTGCATCAGGTTCTTGTTCAAGGAATAAACTGGTTATCTGAAGTGCTGTACATTCACAATGTACTGAATTTTAGTTCCGTTCTAAGAGGACGCTGAGCTCCTTGGGTCAGTGTAAATGTACTCACTTATTTAGGTGTTGCCCACAAGCCCTGTGTATGAATGCTCCTCCTAGGGGCTTTCCCAATGATGCTTCATGTGCCTGCTCCCAAAAGTAAAGGCAACAGTGCTAACAAAATTCAATGTCCTGATGCCACACCAGTGAGACTAAGCATTTTTAATATACCTGTGTCCCAATGTCCTAATCATTTAAAGGGTGCATTGGCCTGCCATGTCAATCACACATTTTACAATTCATTGAGAATTATGAATGAAGAAGTTTTAACCCAATAAAAAAAAAAAGCATAAATGTTAAGAAAGATGGCCCAAGAAATTAGTCACAATTACTGTGTTGCTTTAATAGTTCATTTTTAAAATTTTTCTTCTTGCCCACCTCCAAAAATAAAAAAGGGGAAGAGGGATTTAAATAACAAACCAATAGTCTTTTCAAGTAACATTTAAAGCAGAAGAGTTTAAATATTCTAACATAACACAGATGTGTAGCTTTTGAAAATATGCTCTAAATGATGAAGGATTTTGCTAAGGTCCCCACTTTCCATACCCTGCCATCTGGAAAGTGCCACAAGACCAAACTTTGCTGATCCCTGAGCTGGATTAGTTCATCTTTCAGAACCAGAATGCCCCAGTATATGTCCTGGCTTACCACCCCACTCCCAACATTCTATGTGCTGTAATACTCCCCTATTTCAATCCAGTAGGTTTAGCATTAAATATACCTAAAATTAGAGGATAAAGAGTACAAAGCTGCCCCCCCGCCAACCTTATTTCCAGGATACCCTCCTGGATGCCCTTCTGCTTACCCTCTTCACAAGGTAGCCCTCTCTGATCCGCTTTGGTTCCATGTCAGATGGACAGACAGCAGGGTCCACTCTCAGACAACTCCTCCCATGAGCTTAATCTCCTCTGGAAGCCAAAGTAGTTGTCGGCTGCTTTTTTATAGTGAGGTTCCTTTCACAATTTCCCGTCATGCTGGTTATCGCATGATCACATCCTCTTCCCCTCTGGGGTTGGAAGATCAGAATAAGGAACTGCAGAACCAAATAACCCACTCTTTGCTAATGTTGGAGACTTATTAAAGGTATGGTTAGATCAAATATTTACCCAAGGTAAATTTTTATTATCACAAAAAAATCATTCTCCTAAAGAGAAAAAAAAAAGGTACAAGGAAGAAAACCTTGTTGGTGGAAACTGTCCTGGCTTAAAGTATTATTCTCGAGATCCTGTGAATGCTTATAAAAATGCTCAAGCAATTCAGAACTGACTGGTTAGCGTAACAAAGATTACTACTAAATGGAAGCCAGGTCTGTGCCGGTATGCTGTGAAGTGGTTTTCAGCCTATCTAATTTCCCTTGTTTTCACAAGAAACCCACAGGGGCAAGTATAGTAAGTAAGTCTCTAGCGTAGGCATGGGGGAACGCAGGTTCAAAAGAGAAAGCAGGTAAAAGGTGGGCGGGTGCTGCTGCTGTGCATTGGGCCTGAGAACCTTGAATCACACAGAAAGACAAGCCAACAGAAGGCCTGTAAAAAGACATCCACCATAATAAGGCTTGTTTGAGAAACTACTTTATAGGTTCCATCGTGGCAACTTCCCTTCTGGATAGCATCTTAAAGCCCTGCTGAGGGTACTACAGCAGATATTACCATTGTAACAGTATTTGGTGTTACATTTCCCAAACTTACTTGACCACAGAATTATTTTTTGGACAACTTTTAGCATTTTTGTTATGGGTTGAACTGTGTTCCCCCAAAGGAAGTCCTAATCCCCACCTCTTAGAATGTTGTCTTATTTGGAAATAGGATTATTGTAGATGTCATTATTTAAGAGGAGGTCATGTGAATAGGTGGACCCTTAATCCAACATGATTATCTATCCAACATGATATATCTATCGGAAGAAGAGAGAGAGCGATCAGAGAGAAATATTTACAAGCCGAGGAATGACAAGGATTGCCTGCAACACCAGAAACTATAGAGTAGGCAAGCAATGGGACCTTTGTCAGGCCTGCTTGGCTTCCTGTTTGGTCCTAAGCCATCTGAAAAAACTAACAACCCAATAAGGACAGTGCCCACTGGGGAGAAGAGCTCATCCTCCAAAGTAAAGTCAAAGTACCAAAAACTAGAAGAGTAAAGGCAGGCAAAACCAACATAGGTCAACACCTGGTGTGGAGGAAGCAGGAAATTTAGGAACCCCTGTTCCTGGGGTTTTCTAAGAGCCCTGATCACCTTCTTCCTTCTTTCTAGTTTTCCCCCTCTGTTTTTCACTTTTCTTTTTCTGCTAATGTAGGTTTTGTAAAAGTACAGATGATACCATCTGTTTCTCATTAACTCATGCCAAAGTTAGTAAGATAGTATTAGACATTTTGGGAGGATAGGAGTGGAATAATCAACATTTGATGGCACCTGAGCAGAACAGAAACAAGTAAAGAAATGACTTGCCACATCTATATTTAAACAGGTGTTTTTGCTATGTCTGCATTTGTACAGCCATGGAAATAGTTCATAGATGTTCCAAGCCTGACTTCATGGCTAAATTTATCTGCTGTTATTTAATTAAGCAAATTACTTTTAATTTGTAATGTTTTCTCCATTTGTCCTAATATGACCAGAGGTCTTAACCCTTACACAGAAATGCCGTATTTGGGGATGCCTACAGTGTGAAAGAACCCCCTGTGTTATGAATCATTCAAGATGTGTTAAAGGCTCACTATGTGCCAGGCCCTGAACTAAGTAAAAGTGCATTGCCACCAAGGAGCTTCCCAAATTTATTAACTTTAATGTTATAAGGGATGGATTAGAAGTTACCACTCTCCTTTCTCCGCCTCTTGTCACGGTCCTGCCTGAGCAGCAACACCTAGTGGTCAGGAGAGGGAACTGCCCGTTTTAGGATTTCCTTCCCTCTCTTAGGTCGAGTAAGTGCTCTTAGTCTTCAGGTCCCTTTTCTAAATCAGATATTTTGAATTCTTTCCAATATCTTTTTTATGCATGTGTGTCTAGACTGAGTTTTAAAATTCTTTTTCTGTCCTCCTTTTAATCTTTCCATATTCAATCAATACCTAGGAAACAGCAATTTTTATTTGCGTAAGGAAAATTTAAGACTTTGGAATAAGCAAAAGAGATTACCATGTGTCTCCAATGGAAAACTATGCATCACTTACAGCACCCTTTTCCAGGCTACCTATGAGTTTGTGCTTTTCTTCATGTTTGAATTTTTTAGGACTCTACTAATGATAACTGACAGCAAAACAATTCTTATCTATAGACATGTAAATTCTGTCTGGTGAAAGGTCAATAGACTCTACTCTAGGATCCCCCACCAACCTCCATAAAAGTCAGTTTTTCACCCATCTGTAAGTTGATTTTAACATTTCTTTTATGCCATATAAATTTGCCTTTGACTTCTCCTTTGAACTAGTTGTAACTAGTTGTAACCAGATGTTAAATTGACCTCTTTAATTCATGAGGTCAATAAAATTTTGATTCCATTAACATTTTATTGTATGTGAGTCATGATTTTAACCTTTTTCAATTTTTTAAATTTATTTTTATTGAGGTAACATTGGTTTAGAACATTGTATATAATTTACAGACAGCAGATTTCCCCCTTCAGGTGTTGTAAGCATGCCACACCCGTGACTTTCTCTCTAATTTTTTTTAGTTTGTTGAAACTTTAAAAATTAATTCTTTAGCATTGGTAACTCAGAAAAATATTTGGCTGAGAAATATCAGAATACTGCTAATACTAAACCTAAATTAAGAGAAAGATGTCCAAATGAGTCCCAGGGCAAGTTAGGTTAATTCGACAGCCTCAGGGACAGTGTGGGCAGGGACTTCAAGAGAGTTAAAAGAGGCTTCTGAGATAAGGGAAGAGAAATTCAGGAGGGCTAATGATGGCAGTAAATTTTAAGGCTAAAATTTATGGCTAATTGGGCAGTAAATTTTAGGAGACCTTGGACAGAGTAGGTAAAAAGAGAAACTCTAAGGTAAGATCTGGGAAAATGGGCACATCTGCCCAGAGGAGTACAGCCACTGGGAGAAAGAGCCAATCACAAAATAGGATCATGGATGATGAGATTTTCGAATAGAGAAAAAAGAATTTAAATATCCCCTAGACATGGGCCCTTAAGGGCATCTTTTGCCTCTCCTTGGCCTTGGAGACTGCTTTTGTTCTTTTTTCTCTAAATCAACTTTTTCTTATTTTCTTGAATAAAGTTTGCTTCACTATACTTACTTATCAAAAAATCTGCAAATTCCTTTTTATGGCTTCGTGGACAAGAATCTGTGGTGGTTCAAGGGCTAAATCAACAGCACACACCAGCTTCAAAAACCTGGGAGAGTCAGAGACTTTACCGTACTTGCAAACTAACAAACTAATCTGCCACAGTTTTGTGGAAGCTGACAGAGGACACAAGACCAAGACTTCTGATTTGGTCACTTGCACATGGCAAGCAGGGTACACTTCAGGTTGACATTGTCCCTCTTGCCTCCAAGTGCGATGAGGGAAGGTGTAGAAACCCAGATCAAGTTCACATCACAGCTGAGAACTCAGAGTTTAGGGACTCAAATGTCTTAGAATGGGCTGCAAGCAAACCTGTCCAAATCTTTGTTCTGCTAAAAAGTAAACAGTAAATGAATCTTCCTTTGCCCTGGAAAGAGATACTCTCTCAGCCTTTCATGGCTGTTGTTCACTGTACAAACATCCATGAATTGGCAGTGCCTCTGCTTGCAGGTTGTAGAAAACACAAGAGACCCATTGAGAATTCTCTCTCACAGCAAAAAGAACACCATGCTACCTAATTTGTTTAAATCCTTTAGAGAATATGCAAAGGACTTCCAGCTCAGGGTAGGGAACCAAACCCATATGTTGAGCATATACACAAAGACACAAAATTCTCATGGAAATGGTAAAAAGAAATACAAGTTTTTTGAGTGTGCATATACTCATTTGCTTCAAAAATTATTTTCTCACATATATTTCTTTGCTTTGTCAGCTGAAAGGGCCTAGAAATTATTTCCTCACATATATTTCCTTGCTTTGTCAGCTGAAAGGGCCTAGAAATAACAACACTGTGGTAGCAGCAAGTACACTGCTATGGACTAAATGTGTCCCCCCAAAATGATTGATACATATGACTATTGATCTGATATCAAGATGACTTACCCATCTTTTCATGGCCCATCTGACTACAGGCATCTTGTCTTTGATTTTTTGACATTCCATCCTTGCATTAGTAGTCCAGGGAGGAGGGGAATAGGGCACAAGTGCACATTTTTATATACCTGAGACTATGCTGCAATTTCTAGAACTTCATTCAGAGAATAAGGTATTTAACAGCAATTAGTTCCTTCCAAGCTAACCAAAATCTGGTTTAAAATATGGCTAAAAGTTCAATAGCTCAAAGAACAGCAGATGGTAGCTACATAAAACCAAAGTAATGAATCAGAAAACTAGATATAAAGATTGTCGCAGACTCACAGTCAGTCTATCACATGCATTCAAAGACTCAGTAAAGACATATTCATGTATGTAAGAAATGGGAAAATATACATCCACATCCCTTTTTGGAAAAAAGTTATAAAATAAATAGATGAAGTAAATGAACCAAACAAAGCATTATCAAAATAACTGTAACATTTACAAGAAAAGACATCAGTAAGAAACTCACTTCCTGCAGCCTTGTGGCTATGTGTGTCTGTGTGTTTAGCCTTGTGGCTATATGTGTGTGTGTCTGAAACTCTTTGAAAGAGTTGCATCCCTGCTCTCTCTGTCAGCACAGCCCAATGTTTGACCCACATATTGATAATTGAGAGAAGTGAGATACCAAGGCTCCATCAAGGATACTTGGCTCCATACCCATGTATGGATGTGATACATATAGTGTGATCCCAGGCTAGTTCATCTACCTGGAACAAGTATGTTG